ATGATGATGTTGGTAATGATGATGCTGCTGATGATGATTATGGTATCCCGATGATGATGATTATGACGGTGGTGATGATGATGGTGATGGTGATGGTGTACCGATAATGATATTGATGATGATGTTGGTGACGATGATGCTGCTGATGATGATGGTGTCCCGATGATGTTGATGATGCTGTCGATTATGATGATGATTAGATTATGATGATGATGATGATGATGGTGTCCCGATGTTGATGATGATGTTGACGATGACAATGGTGGTGACCATGATGGTGTCCCGATGATGATGATGATGCTGATGGTGATGATGACGAAGGCTGTGTGCCGATGATGATGATGATGTTGCTGACTATGATGAGATGATGATGGGGATGATGATGATGGCCTGATGATGATGGTGTTGATGATGATGACGATGATGATGATGATGATGACGACGGTGTCCCGATGACGATGAAAATGATGGTGTTGGTGATGATGATGATGATGATGATGATGATGATGACGTTGAATGTTAGATCGATTGTGATATCGGTAGTGAGATCGACTGTGAGATCGATAATCAGATCAATTGTGAGACCGAGCGAATGAGATATATCGAGTGAGATCGATTGTGAGATCGATCGAGTGAGATCGATCGAGCGAGACCGATAGTGAGATGGATAGTGAGACCGATCGAGTGAGACGCTGCATCCTCCCCCCCCCGAACCTCCTCATCACCCGAAGGGTGGTCGTATAGGTACCCCACGGGTGGCCTGGACACGTAAAAGCACGTGGATCCAGCTCTGGGAAACCATCTTAGATACACCCCTGGGTGGCCTGGACACTTTAAAACACGTGGTCCTTGCTCGGTGGAGCCATGTTAGATACCCCCTCGGGCGACCTGGACACATGACAACAAGCGTCTCGCTTGAGATATCTTCAACAAGTCTCCATGTTAAACATCCGCCGGGGCGACCTGGACCCGAGAGTACAAGCGTTCACTCGAGCCTCCCCCAACTATACAAAACGAGCGTTTCACTCGACGCATCCTCAACACATTATGTTAAGCAAGCGTTTCGCTCGGGACATCCTCAGAAAAAGAGATCCGCCGGCCCAACCTTTCCTCGTTATTGATCGCAGAAAATTCAGCCGGCCTACCTCAAGTCGGGGCCGGGGGGAAACAAAACATGATCGACCCACGAACCCGGAAAGGAATATAGAAATGTAAGACATGGCAACGTTTCAAAGACACCTGATTGGGCGACGGGCAAATGCAATGCTTAGTGTATCGACCTTGATGTACCGTGCCGAGGGCTGTGCTGTGCTGTGCCGTGCTGAATTGCGATGTGCCATGCCACGAGTGTGCTCTATAGCGTTGTGGATCGAGTCCTCCTTTGCATCCGAGTCCTGACCGAACTGATCTGGATCTTAAGCTCGAGCTGCCTAAGCACATAACTAGTAGCTGCCCCAGAGTTGATTGACAAGGGAACATGCCAGGAGGACGCGCCGCAGAACGTCCCAAGGGACGCGCCAGGCGACGTGCCAGGGGACGTGCCATGGGGACGCACCGCGGGACGTGCCAAGGGGACGCGCTACGGAATGTGCCAATGGACGTGCCACGGGACGTGCCAAGAGACGCACCAAGCGAGCTGTCAGGGGACGTGCCACGGGGACGCACCGCGGGACGTGCCAAGGGGACGCGCTACGGAACGTGCCAATGGACGTGCCACGGGACGTGCCAGGGGACGCGCCGCGCGACGTGCCAGGGGGACTCGCCACAGGACGCGCCACGGAACGTGCCAAAGAACGTGCCAAGTTGCAATGCTGAGTGAGTGTATCGATCTTGATGTACCGTGCCGCGGGCTGTGCTGTGCTGCGCCGTGCTGAACTGCGATGTGCCACGTGACGATTGTGCTCTATAGCGTTGTGGATCGAGTCCTCCTTTGCATCCGAGTCCTATCCGAACTGATCTGGATCTTAAGCTCGAGCTGTCTGAGCACATAGTAGCTGCCCCAGAGCTAATTCACGGGGGGCATGCTAGGAAGACGCGCCGCCGAAAGTTCCAAGGGACGCGCCAGGCGACGTGCCAGGGGACGTGCCATGGGGACGCACCGCGGGACGTGCCAAGGGGACGCGCTACGGAACGTGCCAATGCATTATGGACGTGCCACGGGACGTGCCAGGGGACGCGCCGCGCGACGTGCCAGGGGGACTCGCCACAGGACGCGCCACGGAACGTGCCAAAGAACGTGCCAAGTTGCAATGCTGAGTGAGTGTACCGATCTTGATGTAATGTGCCGAGGGCTGTGCTGTGCTGCGCCGTGCTGAACTGCGATGTGCCATGCCGCGATTGTGCTCTACAGCGTTGTGGATCGAGTCCTCCGTTGCATCCGAGTCCTGACCGAACTGATCTGGATCTTAAGCTCGAGCTGCCTGAGCACATAGTAGCTGCCCCAGAGCTAATTCACGGGGGGCATGCTAGGAAGACGCGCCGCCGAAAGTTCCAAGGGACGCGCCAGGCGACGTGCCAGGGGACGTGCCATGGGGACGCACCGCGGGACGTGCCAAGGGGACGCGCTACGGAACGTGCCAATGCATTATGGACGTGCCACGGGACGTGCCAGGGGACGCGCCGCGCGACGTGCCAGGGGGACTCGCCACAGGACGCGCCACGGAACGTGCCAAAGAACGTGCCAAGTTGCAATGCTGAGTGAGTGTACCGATCTTGATGTAATGTGCCGAGGGCTGTGCTGTGCTGCGCCGTGCTGAACTGCGATGTGCCATGCCGCGATTGTGCTCTACAGCGTTGTGGATCGAGTCCTCCGTTGCATCCGAGTCCTGACCGAACTGATCTGGATCTTAAGCTCGAGCTGCCTGAACACACAGTCCACGCAGTAGCTGCCGCAGAGCTAATTGACAAGGAAACATGCCAGGAAGACGCGCCGCGGAACGTTCCAAGGGACGCGCCAGGCGACGTGCCAGGGGACGTGCCACGGGGACGCACAGCGAGACGTGCCAAGGGGACGCGCTACAGAACGTGCTGGGGACAAGCGTCGTGTTGGTGGCCTGGACACGTAAAAACACGGTGCCAGCTCGGGACAACCATGAGAGATACCCCCTGGGTGGCCTGGACACGTAAAACACGTGGTTCCAGCTCGGGACAATCATGTTAGAGATCTCCCTGGGTGGCCTGAGCATGAAAAAACACGTGGTTCCAGCTCGGGACAGCCATGTTAGATACCCCTCTGCGTGACTTGGATACGCTGAATTCGCGCTCCCGCTCGAGACATCCTCAAAACGTCTTCCCTGGAGAGGCCCCCAAAGCGCACCCCCCTGTTCAGAGCAAGAAGCCATCACTTTTCCTCATAATTCGGCGTTGGGCCCGACGCCATGTTAGATACCCCAACTCTGCAAAACCAGCGTTTCGCTCGAGACATCCTCAACAAATTCTGAAAAGCAAGCGTTTCGCTCGAGACATCCCCCAACTCTGCAAAACCAGCGTTTCGCTCGAGACATCCTCAACAAATTATGAAAAACAAGCGTTTCGCTCGAGACATCCTGTCAAAATCCCAAGAAATCTAAATTCCTGCGCGCGGGACGCGGCACGCGCGAGACATCCTCAGAATTCCTGCGCGAGGGGCGCTTTTCCGTGTCGCGGTCGGCTCTGCAAAACCAGCGTTTCGCTCGAGACATCCTCAACAAATTCTGAAACCAAGCGTTTCGCTCGAGACATCCCCAACTCTGCAAAACCAGCGTTTCGCTCGAGACATCCTCAACACATTCTGAAAAACAAGCGTTTCGCTCGAGACATCCTCAACAATAATTCCGCCGGCCCTACTCCCGCGCGTAATTTATCGCAGAATAATTTCGCCGGCCCTACAGCCGTCGATTCCGGGGGTAAACAGCGAAAAGAGAACCCTGGGCTCGAGCCCTTTCCGGGAACCCAAAGAGAACCCTGAACCTACGCCCTTTCCGGGGAAAAGAGAATCCTGGGCCTCTGCCCTTTCCGGGAAAAACTGGCCCAAGGAAGGGGTCGGGACTTCCAGGAACCCCATGGAACAAATCGAGACCTCGGATGTCTGGGTGCATCTCGAACGGCTCCTGCCCTGTCGCTGCTCTCTTCTCTTCCTTGCCCCCAGCTGTGCCTCCATTAGTTCCCGGCATGTACCTCCCATAGCCCGACCGGCGCCTGCACCGCTTCCGCACTCCTGCGCCCGCTGACTTGCAAGCCTGGGCACGTCTCCTCCGGCGCCGGCCAGGCCCCTGCTGGGCCGAGGAGCGGTGTGCCCAGACATGCGACGTCCTGATTTTTTCAGGACGGCGCCCCTGGAAATCTAGACCCTTTCCCTAGGGCCGGTTTTTCGTCCTGAGTCGTTTTTTGACGGTCCCGAGGCCCAGCGAGGGCCCCCAGGGGCCGAAAATAGCGAAAAACCTCCCGTCCTGATTTTTTTACGACGCCATCATGTCTGGGTGAGCATCCCCCGTGGCCAGGTCTGGAAGCCACGCCCACCGAGCTGGGGGCCCAAGACGGGCCTGGCCGGGGGCGGCCGCTGTGTACGGAGTCCGTCGGCTGGGGTTGGAGGACGGCCCCGTGGAGCAGGGCGAGTTGCGACAACGGCAGCTCGAAATCGGTCCCGGGACCCCTCTCGGGGTCCAAACGCACCAGACTTCCGAACTGCGTCCAGCCGTGGTGACGAGGCAGGAGAGCCCAGAATCCAATCGATGAATCGGATCGGCAATCGACAGGAATCGGATCGGCGGAAATCGGCAGCCGAATCGGGAAAAGTCGAATCGGCGGACATCGGCAGTCTAGCATGCCTCCAGTTTGAAATCGGAATCCAAATCGGAAGCCCAAGTCGAATCGAATCGGAATCGGAATCCATCGAAGTCGAATCGAATCGAATCGGAGGAATCGAAACGAGCCCTGACGAGGGGGCCCTCCGAAGGCCCATTCCCGCCCTCCTCTGACCACGCCTGCCTGGGGCCAAACACCCCTGGTACGCTCCCTCGAGCTTGCAAGGGAACTGCGTGATGTGCTCTTCCGGAGCGACGTCCTCGAGGCAGATGGCGCACTGGTCGACGCCAGCTGCGCCCGCAGTCGTGCTGGGCAGGGAAGTGAACACGTTCCCGTCGGGGGAGTCCGGGTCCTGCTGGGGCAGCTGGACCATGAAGGAGCTCTTCGTCTCGCACCGCTCGAGGTTCCTGGCAATCTCCGCGATGTCCTCGAACCAGGTTGGGCCGAACGACTGCGGGGGCAACGTTGCGATCCTGACCTCGAACGCTCCAGAGTTCGAGTGCCGAAACACCTCCAGCAGGCGCCAATAGCCGCCCACGCCGTTCACCTCCTCGATGATGAACCCTGGCTGCACTACCCGGTCTGGGTTGTCTCTGTTCCACCTGTCGAAGACACCGCCCTCCTGGGTGCTGATCAGGACGGCGCCCGTCGACACGATCCCGAGGGTGGCGCCGATCACGTCGCCGTCTCCCTTGTGTATCCGGATGGTGAAATTCTTGGGCAGCTCGCGCCCCGCGCCATCTTCTCTGGGGCACTCCGGGCCCCGTGCCGGCACCTGTTCGGCCGAGGGCTCCTCGCCCCCACACGCGCGGGCGGAGGAGCAGCCCATGGCACTCGAGGCGCAGCGGTATGCCTGGAAGCTGGTGTGGCGTCACTGGCCCTCCGCAGAAACGAAGATGGAGCCAAAACGGCTGTGGAATGGGATCGTGGATGAAGACTGCGCGTTGCATTCACTGGGCATCGAAACCGCGCTGGACAATCGTTTCTCGTCATAAACGAATTGATCGACACCTTGCGTCGGTGACGGCAACGAAAACTATCCGTATGAACATGCAAGACACGTGCTGCGAACGACGTGCGCGATTACATACGTAAGCATTGTAAGGTTGACGACTGCGATTGTGATCTCATCGGTGGTGGTACATTGATTTGAACATCGCAAACCATGTTCTCGTACATTGGTCGGGAGGCACGTCAAAGAAACGCCCGTGGGTACTCGCGCCATGAACTGGCAGTTCGGATTTCACCTATGCAATATTAGGGAAAGCTTCGGTCATCCAAGAACTACTGTCGCCAACCCTCGGGCAAACCTTTCTAAGCAACCTGAGGCGGGGTGGAAGCGAGCGGGCATGCTCGGACTGAGCTTCCTAGTATCAGCGCGGGCAGCGCGATGATCATCGCGTGCGCGTGCCTCTTGGCAAAGATGCTGGCCAAGCGATGTGCGCCCTAAGCGAGCCGGCGTGCTCGGAGAAGAATTCCCTGTTGACAACGCTGGCCATGCGATGTGCGGTGCCCAAATGGCTATGGGATGGGGATGGCGCGGGGTGCTTCCAGGATTCGTTGGGATGATTAAATGGTGCATGGCAGATGCGATGAGGCGACGGCGACGGCGAAGGCGACGGCGGTTGCCATGACAACGACGACGATGACGGCGGCAAGGACAGCGGCGGCGACGGCGAAGGTGAGGGTGACGATGATCATTGCGACCCTCATTGCGTCGATGTCTGCACTTGTTCCATGGCGTTTGTGATCATCGCGATGGCAATACGTGGGGCTATAGGCCTTCGTGATGGCCCCGACGCCGAACGAACATTCAGTGCTAAGCGATGCGCGGTCATGGCGATGATTGTGACGAAGATCTGGCTAACGAGTGGCATGCCAGGGCTGATCCTCAACACGTGAGAGCGTTGAGAGTGACGCTTGCAACGATGGCGATGGCGATGGCGAGGTGGGTTGTGACGCAGTGCCCGCAACGACGATTTTGCTGGCTGCGTTCTTTTGCGCACTCTGAGCTCGCTCCCAAAGAGACCCCTCGGAGAGCCCGCGACGGCCCCGAGGCCCCCCCCCCCCAAAAGCCTTTGACAAGCACCCGCAGGGCTCCAAGAACCCCTTCAAGCGACCCCAACTATTGTCCAAACGCGCGACACGGGGCAGAGAAAAGCAAAGAAGAACATAGGTTCCTCTTTGCTTTTCCCTGCCCCGCATCTGGCGCCCACCTCTTCTCAAGGTCGGGGTTCGTGAATATGTCGAATGTTTTCCGTGCGCGCTCTGAGCCTGCTCTGTTGCCAGCGCCCCATCGCTGGCTCATGCTGTGCCTATGTCAAGGTGCATCGCTGGATAGGGCTAAAGTAAAACTGCCCCGGCATGCCGCGCCGAAAAAAACACGAGCGATCCAAAGCGACATGCTGAGTGCCCCGAAGCTTGCGGCTGCCCCGACGCCGAACCGCGCCTGCTCGCGTCGAAGCGGCCTCGAGGGCCTCAGCGCGGGCCTTCTCGATCTCGGCCGTTCTTGCCGTCCCAGCCGCCGACGCTGCCGCCTTCGTATCGGCCTCTGGCGTGCCAGCTGCTAGCTGCGCCGCGCGAGCGTGATGCCGCGCTTTGCTGCGCTCGCGCATCCTGTGGGCCTTCAACTCTGTGGCGCTCGTGCTCGCCGCGGACGCGCGGTCAACTGCTGCTGGCCTCTTGTGCAAAATTGCCTTCGTCTTCTTCTTGCCCTTTGTGCTGGTCTTGCCGCCTTTGCCCCTCCTCTGGGTCTCGCCCTTGGCCTTGGCTTTGGGCTCGCCCCGTTTCCCAGCCGCCGCCGCCGCCCTCTGCTTGTTGAGGGCCCTCCAATCATGGTCGCTCGGTGGAATGAACGGCGCCATCGCTAGAAATTTGATCTCCGCCGACGCCGAAGGAGAGCAGTCCGGCACTTGTGGTTCGGAAGCAGCTGGTGGTTTTGCAGCCTCTTCAGGGTCTCCAGCCTGCAAGAGCTTCAGCGGGTCGGGGTCGGTATTGGTCAGGAGCTCCTCTGCGTCGACCTCGCCCTCCTCGTCGTCACCTGAATCCCAGACCTCCAGTATGCCGGCGACAGTCGCCGCAAGCGACATTACGACGACGTCCTGTTCGGCGAGGGCCTCGTCCTTCTGCGCGGCGACCATGTCGAATATGGACGAGAACGATTATGCAAAACCAGTCGGGGTTGGCATATCCATGTTCTTCTGGAAGTGGAGTTGGCTGATCAGTGCGCGTAGTTTGTAGGCAACCTTCTCGATGTTTTTGTCCGTCAGCTTCATGTCGTGATCTGTCGCGTACTTCTGGATGCCACCCTGCAGCGATGATTGCGGGGCGCTCGATCCACCGCTGTGCTCGCGAATGCACGATCTAACATGAGCAGGTGGCTTAGGTTCTCTCCAAAAGGGTGCCCTTCCGAACTTCGGCTTCGAATATATGATGAACCCTCCGTTCTTGTGCTGTGACGCTGGCACGCGAGACATCGCCTCTAAGACGCGTTCCTCTGAAATCCTGGCATAGGCGAACCACGGCATTCGGGGGGCGAAATGGGACTGGTCCAGCATGGTTTGGTCCCAAGTGGCTATGATCGACGGAGAAAAGGGGGAGGAGGGACCAACGCAAACACTTGGCGGAGGGCCAGGGCACGGAACATAGCAAGATGAGAGGGCACAGTGCAAACACATTGCAGAATAGCAGTCGGCCGAGCACCAGGAACTTTCTGCCACGATATGTGGACAGCGCACGCGGTGCGAACCCATGGTGCCACGAAATGTGATGGGGGGGGGTGCCAACGTGGGAAGGGGGGGATTGACAAGTGCTAGCGGTGCCGTTGGGTCCTTCGGAGAGCCCCCCCCCTTCGGGCAACGATTCACCGAGGGGCGCGTGCGAGCGCGGCGTCTGGCGCTGTCGGTCAGTCTTTGTTTGGTATTTGTTTGTATATCTATATATACAACTGTTAGATTTTAGGTTCAAAATATTTTTTGTCGTCGGGGGGGGGGGCTGCTAGCGTGCGAGAGAGGTATGTGTGTGCATCTCTCTCTATATATATAGATGTATCTATACAGATACATATATACACATGTAGAAAGAGAGAGAGAGAGAGAGAGAGAGAGAGAAAAAAAAAAAAGGAGAGAGAAACATGATGGACCCACGAACCCGGAAAGGGATATAGACATGTGCAGCATGGTCACGTTTTCACGATATCCAACTGGGCGACACCTCACGAAACATCCCACGAGACACCCCGCGAAACATCCCAGGAGACACCTCACGAAACAACCCACGAGACACCTCACGAAACATTCCACGAGACACCCCGTGAAACATTCCACGAGACAACCCACGAACAGGCAACCACTCAACCAGACACCCCACGAAACATTCCACGGGGGTGCGACTGGGTGTGGTCGTGCTGGGGTGTGGTCGTGCTGAAGTATGGTCGTGTTGGGGTGTGGTCGTGCTGGGGTGTGATCATGCTGGGGGGTGGTCGTGCTGGGGGGTGGTCGTGCTAGGGGGGTGGTCGTGCTGGGGGGTGGTCGTGCTGGGGCGTGGTCGTGCTGGGGCGTGGTCGTGCTGGGGCGTGGTCGTGCTGGAATGTGGTCGTGCTGTGGTGAGGTCGTGCTGGGGTGTGGTCTTCTGGGGTTGGGTCGTGCTGGGTGAGGTCGTCTGGGGTGTGGTCTTGCTGGGGTGTGTCGTGCTGTGGGTGGGGTCGTGCCTGGGGTGGGGTCGTAGTTGGGGTGTGGTCGTGCTGGGTGTGTCGTGCAGGGGTTTGGTCGTGTTAGGTGGGGTCGTGCTGGGTGGGGTCGAGTTGGGGTTGTGGGAAGGATGGGGTGTGGTCGTGCTGGGTGTGGTCGTGCTGGGGCGTGGTCGTGCAGGGGTGGGGTCGTGCTGAGGTGGGGTCCGTGCAGGGGGTGTGGTCTGTGCGGGGTGGTCCCCGCACCCGTGATTTACGATCGGTCGTGGCTGGGTGTGGTCGTGCTGGGGTGTGTCGTGCCGGGGTGTGTCGTGCTGGGGTGTGGTCGTGCTGGGGTGTGGTCGTGCTGGGGCGTGGTCGTGCTGGGCGTGGTCGTGCTGGGGTGTGGTCATGCTGGGGGTGTGGTCGTGCTGAGGTGTCCCGCACCCTGTGATTTAACGATCGGGATTTCAAAAACAAGCGTTTCGCCTGAGACATCCTCAAATGTTAATCCGCCGGCCTCCTTCGACCTCGATATTTATCAGGGAAAGA